CTCTCTCTCTCTCTCTCTCAAACACACACACAACACATACTTGCATGAATACATTCCATATATTGCCAATTGAACTGACAACATGAAGTCCTGGTCGAGCTATTTTGTGAAAGACAATCAAAATTGAAATGATGTGAAAATTTTATCTAAGCAACTGAAAGATTGGATTCTAGGGCCAGGGAGATAGTTCAGTAGAATAAGTGCTTGGCTGGCAAGTGAAGGGTCCTGAGTTTAATCCCTAATCCCTGGTACTACTACAAAGATATATAAAAACAGGGTCAGCCAAACAGCTCAGCGAATTAAGGCACCTGCAAGCAGGTGCAGGGGCAAGGCATTCAATTCCCAGTCCTGCCATGCTGGCCCCACCCCCAGGGCATGCTTAGATGGCAATTGCGACTGGGTATGGTGGCACATGCCTATAGTCCCAGCACTTTGGGGGCTGTAAACAGGAGAATCACTACAAGTCCGATCAAGTAGTGAGACCCTGAACACTCTGTAGACCCTTCCCTAAAATGCAAAACGAAAAAAAAGGATATGTAAAAACAATTGGATGAGCAAGTTTTGGAAGTAAGTGGGAATCAGATGTTCAAGTTTAAGAGACAGTATGTTGGAGATCCCTAGTCCATGTCAGTATAGAGTAACTGAAGCAGTTCTTCCAGGAGGAGAGTAAAACATCTGGAGATTGTCACATTGTGAATTATATGGAATGCCCCTATCGAATGCCTCATCATCAGAGTAGAAGTACAAAGAGGAAAGGACAAACTTTGAAGCATATCTATATTTTGAGGCTTGGAAGAGATGAAAGATGTCATCTTGTTTGGAGAAGGAATAAGATTGAAGCATTCTGTACTCTGGAATGGAGGGTTTAAATATGTTTCAGATAATATTTTAGGACAATATTGTATTTTGCAACAAAACTTTTAGAATTTATGGAGACAATGTACATCAATTCCAACTAAGAGGAGAATCTGCTTTATTAATGAATCAAGAGGAATCTGAGGTAATTGTAAAAACTGAATATAAAGATATGAATGAGGACACGTATATAATTCTTGGAATGAAATTTAGCACATGTTAAAAATTAATTGCTTATAGGTAATGGTAGATGATTTGATATATAGTTATCTATTGTCAGTAGACACTAATGAAACAAATCTATTTCCTAATTCCCTGGGACATTCTTCTTTGCTTAATCTGGCAGATGACCAGAGGCCAAATTGTAAATGAAAGAAACATGTTCTTTGGTCTTAATTTCACAAATTGACACCACAATTCTGATACACATTCTGAGGTAATTTTTCAATACATACAACAGGCAACAGCAGTGCAAATTTTGCATAAAAATGTAATCCCGAGAATGTTCTCATAGAGAATATTGATATGACTATAAATTGTCTTCATTTATTTCCTTCCCCCTTATGAATTTTAAGGTAATTTAACCAAATTTATAGCTAACTCCACATGTTAATAGCTACCTTAATTTTAGATGAATCTGATAAGTGTCCTTGAAGTTTTGATTGTGCCTCGAATGTTTTTTTTTTTTTTTTTTTTTAATTATGGAATGCCTCAAGAATGTGCAAGTCATCCTTACACAGCGGCCTTGCTAATCTTCACTGTACTGTTCCAACTTTAGAATATGTGCTGCCAAAGTGAGTGCTGTACCTCCAATTATGTATAAAGAATACTTGCTACTTATTTGTTAAATGGAGGATAATAAGATTGCATTTCCTCAGGTTCAAGCTTCAGGGAAAAATAAAATTATTTTGTTGAGGGCTAGAAATGCCAGCCCACATCTACAATCCCAGCACCCGGTAGGCTGAGGGAGGAGGATCCCCATGAGTTAACAGCAAGCCTGGAGTAGAGTGAGCTCAGGCCAGCATAGACTACTGAGTGAGACTCTGTGATTCTGAATCAAAAAAGGAAAGAAAAGAAAAAAAAAAGCCGTTTTTTTGGCATCATACAATCTAGTCATTACATCTCTTTTTCAATTTTTTCCGTAAGACTGATGAGAAGATAACATTTATTCATAGGTCCATGAAAAAATTAAAACCTAGGATAAAAAATGAAAGGCATATTTATATTTTATGTATGATGTAGTTGGATGTACAACTTAGGTAAAACTAAATTATATGAAAGTTACTAACAAAAATATATTATTCGCATGAATTCTGGAGAAATTAGTGGTGTATATACCTCGGATGTAATTTTTACTGTTTGTTTTTGACTATTTAAAAATAAACTATATGTAGAACATATTATGAACATTTATAGCTGCTTAAATATAACTGACTTCAATATGGAGACAAATTTAAAGTTTAAACCACAATTTAATTAAAAATTTAGGTTGAGCCAGGAGTGGTGGTACATGCCTACAATCCCAGCATTCAGGGGGCTGAGGCAGGAGGACTCTTGAGAGTTTGAGGCCAGCTAGAGCTATAAAGTTAGTTCAAGGTCAGCCTGAATTGTGCAGCAAGACCCTGTCTCAAAAGAAAAAAAAAGAAGAAGAAGAAGACAAAAGAAAAAAGAGAAACTTAGGTTAAACTGGAATAAATCTCTTTAAGTTTCTTTAATGAATGTTAATAGGCTATAGATTAAATTAAGCTATAATATAGAAAATTGAGATAGTTCCAAATTTATTTATTTGTTTTAGTTTCAATGATAATGGACATGACTATTAATAATAACCAATTATTTGCTTCTACTGTTGAATTTATACACTATACACATACTACAATGTTTATAAATATTAAAATGTAACATAAATATTTTCAATAAAAATTTCATCTGGAATATGAGTAAAATCTATGAAATTAAATTTTATAACTTTATCCCCTGAATTGCCCAAACATTTATGTGAACAGAGAGGTGGAACAGCAAAACATTGGCTTTAATTGATGTCTGTGTAGCCAGAAAGGCATAAAACTAATTAGCCTATAAAGAAAACAAGCTCATACTTTCAGCTCATTAGAACTGTAGCCTCGTTGCTAAGAGAGGTGTTCATACAGTGCTTAAAACTTCCATAACATTTATTTTTAATATCATGCATAATAAATAGTGATGGTTTGATATTCTGCGTGTAACCTAAAAGCTCTTCAAGAAGACAATGAAATTGCATTCAGTTGGAACACAACAACAACACACACACACATACACACATGCGCGCATGTTTTATACCCAGGTTTCTCTACTCTCCATAATCCCTATGGAAGAAACAAAAACAAAAGCTATATCTAAGCAATACAAGTTTCAAAGACGCATAGTTTATTTGTAATGAATGATTTATACTTGCAAAGAAACACACCTCAGAAGAAAACTG